GGATATAACTTACCTTCAAAGACTCTTTAGCCTGCTTTCTGGCCATGGCTGGAGACTTGTCTGAAAGCTTTTTCTCAGTCTGAATAAAAATAATGCAGAGATTAAAAGGGTATTTCAAATCTCATCGAATGCATTCTCATGGAATCTAATGTACAGTAATGAMTCTAAATGCTATAATATGGGAGAGCAAGCACATGGAGTGAGAGTTATGTGTGTTTGAGAGTGTGAGAATTAACAGATCAGAAATGGTTTTCCGTGTTTCATACTCTGATCAAAACACGTGAGATGTTGAGAGAACACGAGAGGAGCGTAGGAAACCACCATATGTAGCTGAAAAAATATTGTATTATTCTGATGTATTTGTAAAGGATGACGTGAGCATGTTTTGATACCCTCATCAAACATGGTTTTCGACCAATCGTAGCGCACATACTATTCCAATTATTTTATAATAAAGCTTAAATGCATTGTTAACTGTTTGTTTACTTGMTRGAACTCCTACAGTTTGTACTTTCCAAGTACTTGAGTGTTTACAGTCAATTTAAAAAAAGTTGTCGTCGACCGGCTCAAGCCTACGCGACTGGACCAAAAGGAATATGGGTAAAAATCACTGAAGCAGTTAAATATTCGTTCTGAATTMATTGTTCCYGCTAGYAAYAAGATAATAATGGCRAGAAACAATCCATCAAATGCATGTCTTTGGGTTTAGGGAAAGAAAAACAAAGTAGTTATGATTCAGTTCACAATTTCGAAAATATGAAGGCATTAAAAAAACGGCTACTTCAACACTTCCCGCTTGCCTACGAAGGTTCCTGCTGTAAACCAGGCATAACTAGTCAGATAAAAATATTATGGAGTCAACTCGGCTTCAAAGATTGCTACCCAGAGTTCCTTTCTGTCCAGTCGCGTAGGCTTGAGTTGGTTGATGACAATTTTTTTTGAATTAACTGTATTATAGCATAGCTGCGCACCTTATTTGAATCTTTCCTGTCTGCCATCTTGCTGCTCTGTGCTTGTAATCTTGGAGAGATAACACCATCAGGCTTGCAGTTTAGACCCCCTTCATCTGGAACTGGAATAAAGAGAAAAAAGGGTGTTAAAATTCGCTTTGAACCCCAGCTGAAAAAAATGCAAAATATGCATATAAAAAAATTAATTAAACAAACCATATTTTTCCAAGAAACTTGTACTACAGAAAAAAAGTGTTTCAATAAGGAAAAAAACGAGACACGGCTAAGTTTTTTTTAACCAACTTCAAGGCATTTGGATAAAGAATGAAAGACACTTTCAAGTGGTATTTATCAAGTGACAAAACATTTAGCTAACTAAGTTTTGCAAGTATGACCACAGTCCAAATGGACTTTGATCAGCCCA